GGGGGGGGGGGGGGGGGTACTTGCAGTATACATGACCGGGGAAGGGAAGAGGGTCCAACATCTTTTTTGGGTTGAAAATTTATACCCTCGGTATTTTATGGGTTAAGAGACCTGTGACAGATTTTTTTAGGTCTTGAAGAAATACAGTCGAACCTCCCGCAAGTGACTACCCAAAATGTCAAGCCTATGTGGCCGCTTACGGGAGGTGGTCACTTACAAGAGCTTGGACCATATTTGATCAAAATTGTGCCTCATTAGCATATGGTAATTGCAGAGACAACGCTCACCTAACCCATGTTATGACTTGTAGTGACCACAAAAATCTTTAATAAGCTTACTCAGTTAACTTATCTAATAAGATGAAAGGTGCAAGTCTCACGATAGTTACAAAGTGAATCTTAAATGTTGTGTAATCATTAGGGGGATCTGAACATCAACTAATAAGGATTGGATTGCTAGCTTTAAGTTTGACAGCCCTATTATATTGCTGGTGATTTACATGTTAACTGTTAACTGTTCTTGAGTGAACAGTAAATCAGTTCTAATTTTCTGTAATTACCGGTATAAGACATTTTTGAAAGGTCATCTCTTTTATGACTGATAGAATACAGTGTATGTGCATTTTCCTTTAAATCTTTAAATGTTTTTACTAAGTCATGTAAAAAATCAATTTCAAGAAAAAAAATCCGGTACTTCCCAATGAAATTTCCGTCTTTTGTACTACCAAGGAATGCGATGATATTACAACACCTTATTATCCAATTTTGGCTCTATTTTTTTTATCAATGGTCGCTTATGGGAAGTTAAAAACAAATTTAAAGAAAATTGCAAACTTTTGGCTCTAAAAGTGGTCGCGGTCGATTACGAGAGGTGGATGCTTACAAGCGGTTCCAAATAGTGATTTGACTGGGAAACTTTTGGTATTTTGGAAATCTGGTCGCTGAGGAGAGGTGGTTGACGAGAGGTGGTCACAATTGGTGGTTCGACTGTATGTTTTTTTTGGGTTTACACATCTCCGAGCGAAATTTTTGTTGCGATCAGTGGATCAGAAACTTTTTCAGCAACATGTGAGCTCCGGAAATATATAATATATAGTGTCACAATAAGGAACTGTGTGTAAATGTGGAGCACAAGGGAAGATGAAGAGGCATTAACGGACATACCAATTTCATTAGCTTATTGAAAAAAAAAAAAAAAACTGTCGTTTGATCTTTAAATAAACAGTATCTATTCACAAATGTAATATGTAAATCTTGTAATATAAATTTGCAATCAAAGTCACACTCCTTGGTTAAAATTTTTATCATCGCTTAACTGTAACCCACATACATTGTATGACAACTTGCTTGATCTTGCTTGGCTAAATAGGTCCTTATATTTTTGGGTATTAAAATGGCACATCTCTGCCAGCAGGTTCGTAAACCAGTAGGTACTTACATGCGGGATTAATCTTGCACCCAGGCTCAACTCTGAGTGGTTTTGGCATGTGACATCTGAGTGCACAGGACTGCAAATAACAGTCAGTCATCAACCAAAATTTGCTCATGTCCGACTAAATCCCAACTGTGGTCAGACATGATGTCCGGAAAATTTTTTTGTCGTAAATCATTTTATCGTAAGGATGAATAAAAATCTACCGCGAGTAAATCTTACTCTTTTTGGTGATGTCCGACCACAATTTGTTTTGTCTGACCAAGATTGGGTCTTAGAAGGACATGTGCCCATTCAATAGAAAAAAACTATTTGCATCCCTGGTGCATGATGAACTTTGCTTTTGTTTGTTTTGTTTCATACAGGAAAGAGTCGTCACAGCAACAGATTGTAGTCCCAGTCACTGGTATTCCTTACCAGTTGTCTACTTACCAGCTCACTGAAGAGAACACAGACTTCTCTTACAGAGACAAACGACACCAGTCCTCCACGGTAACAAGTATTGGTCCCCAGTGAATAAGTGAAGACAGGCTGACATGGGAGGGGAGGGAGAAGGAAGGGATGGGATGGGATGGGTGGGAAGGGTGCTTCAAACTCCTCGAAACAAGAGGTATCGTATGTATTTATTTGAGTATTCAGAACTTGCATTTGTATTGAAATTTTTCCCCTGCTGTTGTCAGACTTAAGTTTGTCTCCATTTTACTTCACTGTCCTGTTCGTGAATAGAATATTTATTTCTCAGCATTTCAATGTCTTTATATTAACTCCTGCAGAAGATGCCACTATCTTAAGCAGTATTTATTGTTTAAGTTGCTGGGTTTTGTGAAATGCATATGAAAGTCGTTTCAACCATATAGAAAATAAATTACTTGATATTTATTAATGTTATATACCTGGAGTTTTGAATCTAACACGTGCTCTTATTAGTTGATTTATTAGTTGATAAATATCGCCCCGGCAGGCAACAATTATGCAAGAGACCGTTTTCGATACATTAAAATTCAGCTTGGCAGTGAGGCTTAAAGGACACAAACAAAGGGAATTGAATGACCATGTTTATTCATTTCCTTTGTGTTTTTCCTCAAGGCCTCACTGTCAAGCTGAATTTTAATATATCGAAAAAAGCCCATTGTTGCCTGCTCTCCCACTAACCAAAGGTTACTTTGGCTTCTTGCTCAATTCTTTACACTTAACTCCAGCTGTATAACAAAACACTTAATTACTGGTCCCTTGGGAAACATTTAGTTCTGGTTTCCCTCTAATCTCGATGTTTCCATCGACTTTGTCTTAAGAAACCGAGATTCTCGGGAAAACAAAACCAACAGTTTCCCCCGGGACCAGTAATTACGTGTTTATTATTCTTGGCTATGATAGTATTAGTCAGTTATAAGTCCTGGTGACTTTGACATAAAAAAAAGAAAAAACAATTTACTTTTAAATTATAGTTAGTTAAGTTTGTGTCCATTGTTATCCAAGGGACTAATAGATAAAGTTGGTAAAATATTATTACTTGGCCTTAGAAGTGCAAGGCTGACTGGTGTACATTTTTTAATTTTACATGACACAGGGTTACTTTTGAGAAGTAAGAACAACGATTCTTGAAGAGATGTTTAGTTAGATCTACTTATGGAATGAATCATTTTGGTTACGTAATTAATTTTAAAAATTGAAATAGCAGTGCATAGACACAAATGCCAAAAGAAAATTATAGTATAAACTGTTTAGTTGTTTGTATATAAATGAAAATATTTATTTATAATGCAGGGTATGTATTAAATATTTTGAAGGCCTTCAGTTGGGAAAGCGGCTGTTTGGTTTATTTAGGTTTTAAGAATTCCCATGGAAAATTTTAATTTATAACTAACATTGTTCAAAAGCACTATTTTTGTTCTCCTATTTTTTCTCAAAGGGCTAAGTGTAAATTCAAAAAAAAAAAAAATGATGAAAGAGCTAGGATGATTAGCAGAGGTTTATCAGATGTCTTTTTAGCGCTTTGTACGGGCTTGGCTCGTTGGAAAATCAAATTAATATTTAGGCAGAGTTAAGACTTAATGCGGGTTCTATTCTGGGGTAAAGACAGTAATGCAATAGAAATTATCATTATTTAACTCATAATAGTGAATTTCACGTCTGTGCAAAACCTGGGTTAACCTAGGCTTCAGGAGTATGTAGTCTATCAAGTTTCTTGAAGTCACAAAATTGTGTTAATTTGTAACGACTTTCAGTTGATGACTAAACGGTGTGTTCGTTAAGCGAGCTGTATTTCTTTTGCGGTGGCACAATATTCAAATTGGCGAAAACGTCAAAATAATGGTTCCAAGGTAGTAAAATGCTGAAGTGGAAATTATAAATTTTAAGGAACAGGAATCGTTAACAAAGGGTAGACAGAGGTTTGTAACGAACGATCGACGAGCTTGAAACGTTTAGCCATCAGTGGATGTACAATCCTGGCCCCAGTTTTCGAAGGGTGGATAACGCTATCCAGCAATTAAATCGCTATCTAGTGGCTAAGTGTTGACAAAACAAACCACGCTATCCGCTGGATAGTGATTTATCCAGTGGATAGTGTTATCCACGTTTAAAACAACGCGGTCCTGGGGCCCGTTTCTTGAAGGTCCCGAAAAGCCTTGGCAAAATCTCAAACCTTATGACTTTAAAGCTGTTTTATGCACGTATACTTATTATAAATAGAGGTTCTCTTCATGCAAGAAATTTCAGGCGTATACACCTCTCTGTCTTTAAATACCGATTAACTAAAAATGGCTTTGCGGACCCGAAAAATTTCCGAGACTTTCGAGAAACGGACCCCTGGTCAAAAGTCTTGAGACACTTCGCACTTTTGCTCAGATATGGTCAAGGTAGACTCACTATTCCAACATTCCTTTGGGGAGAGGGGGGTTCGGTAAATTAAATAATGACTTCCCACTTCAAAATAATGCGTCACGGCATTTTGTCAAGTGTCGCAAGGACTTTTGGCCAGGCGTGTAGTTCGATACTGGGATCTGATAATCTAGCAATTTGTTTTCAAGTCTAGAAAGTCGTTTGCAAAGACTTGCAGTGTTTTCGCCGTAGTATGATTGTCAAAAACATACGCTTGGCGGGGTGTCCGTGAATGTTAGCAACGGAGAGCTGTGGCGTTTTAAACCTCAAGATTGACTACATCACCTTTCACTGTGTAGGTTAGAAGCAATGCTTTAAAACGACTGATATGGAAATAAAGTCTCATCATCTCATTGTGTGTGTGTTGATTAAGTTATCCTGAGATAGGCTGAGGTTGTTAACCATTTACTCGTAAAAACCGCTTGGTCGACAGTTGTAGTAAATGAAACACGTCCAATCCCGAATGGTAATTTCCACGGGGATGCGCTCGTTCCATTTCCACGACTTTTTCCCGGAAGATAGGATCAAAGACGACCCAAGCCAAAAGGCCTGGAACTAGTAAAAACTAGCCAATGGAGCGCACATTTTCCATTCGGAAATTCCTTTTGGGAGTTTTGGTCTACCTTTCAAGAAATCCCGTTTTCCCGAGAAAATTTTCGTTCGGGGAGACAAAATTAATCTTTCCATTTTTGGGTAAATGGTTAACCTAAGTCATTGTTAGGTTACCGCAGGTTAGCTAAACTCCACCTGCCCCCCCGCGCCCTTGCATTTCATTTTCAGAAGTGTAGCAGCTTTCGTAAGCTTGTAATTCTCTTCATTGTTAGAGGCTGTTATTGTTTTGGGGCTTGAGGCATTGTTTCTGTTGTTTCTTGTATTGTTCTCTCAAAGGGTATCAAGCCATTCATGAGAGATCTTACGAGAGCTGCTACATCACGCTTCATTTTCTATACGCATAGGCAGACAGTTTTTGATCAAGCCATGTTCCTATACTCGATACTGGACTGGAACTAGCTTGTAATGGTGGCTCATGGAGGGGAATATCATTGAAAGGAGATTAAAGAAGCTATCTTACAGTTTGCGCATTTTGAAAAGTTTAGCCTAAATTTTTCAAGTTCTTCGTTTGTACTACGTGTTAATCTTTTCCTTAACCATCCTTTTTTTCCTTTATGGTTTATTGTTATCTCTTTGGTGTTTTTCTATCTTAGTAAACTATTTTCAGGTTTCGTTCAATTTAAATGTAATTTTGTACGTGGCCAACAATTAGTCAAAATACTGTGACTGCTCCTTTAATGTCATTTGCATTTGAAAAGACTCCCCGCATTAGCCTCACTTTCAAGCTAGTTCCAGTTCAATACAGAGAACAAAAATGAGCGCGCGCTTTCTGTGGATTTCGAACAGTGAGAAAAACAACGTCGAACTTCATGACAACGACCTCCAAGACAAAGAAAGAGAAACAGCTTCGCTGTAAACGAGCGAAAACAAACAAACAAACAAACTCCCGATTGGACACGAGATAGTTCAAATTACCAGTTGACGGATCGAAGAAACCCGGCCGGTACAAAGGAAAAATATGTCGCTGCTTCAAGCTTGTAGTGTGATTGACCCATCCTCAAAGACCCAAGCGGAGTTGGGCAAAGTTTACAGAGAATCCGAGGATGGGATCTCCTTGTTTACAGTTTTCAATAAGCAGCGTTCGATATATCAATATTCTACCATGGTTCTGAGGCTCTCAGGACAAACTTCTATATTTGGTGTTGTTTTCTTTGTATCCAAGTCTCTTTTGAGAATTGAGGGACAAAAGAAACTTTATAAAAATTTGCAATTTTGCCTCGAAAGCTTCCGAGCCATGTTAGAATATTAAATACACAATAGCCTCCATTTGGCGCAGAAATATGCACGAATATTTGTCCAGGGACATTCTCTGTTCCTCGAAGCTCACAATTTTCCTTGAGTTACACTCGCGGAAAACGTTCGCTTCTCGGAACGGATAATGTCCAAGGACAAATATGCGAGCATATCTTCCCGCCAAATGGAGGCTATCAAATGTGTTAATTATCCTTCAAATATTTTTCGCAACACGCGCAGTTTTGAGAATTGGAGAATATCACTCGGATATTCCCCAGTTTTAGCTGAGGAATATTCATTCATTAGGTGACACGCTTAGACCAATCTGTCGCGACCGAAAAAATTTAATGGATTATAAAATATGATATATCGAACGTGGACCATTCAATCAAGTAACTGATGAAGATTCATATAAAGAAATGAATATTTCATAAATACTATAGACAACGAACAAGTATAATTTCCGATATTTCTTCCGCTCATTAATATTTTGACCAGAATTTATAGCTCTATCGACCAAGTTATTGTGCACGCTTGAGAAAGGTGTTAATAAAGCTAGGCGATTTATGACTGTTACATAACGTTCGTTGCTAATCATCATCAGTTGTTGTTATAATTGTCTCATGCCCCCGTAACAGACCTTTTTACCTAAGGCGGTTTATTTTCTCGTTACAGACCACGTGATATTGTCTAGAGAATTGTTCTTTAATCCATATCATCTAAAATTATTCATTCATACACACGCGACTATTTGAAAATTTGAAAGCAAGAATTCTCAAAAGTATCTCATCTGGCCTGAAAAGGAGCAACAAACCACTTAAGGACATTCGCGCGAAAATTGTCCAGTCGATGGTTTTTTTTTTTTATAAATTTTTACTGCAGCCAGACGATGAGTTACTTGTGTCAGAAATGCAAGAAAAAAAATTGGGGGCCACCGACTTCGTCTCAGAGATAAAGCGTGTGGAAAACAACCCTGATTTCGAAAAATTCTAGCACGTAATTGAACATGGTCTACAGGGGTTCACAGTTAAAAATATCGAAGATGAATGAGCGGAGGCAAACGATCTTAGTCATATTTTGTAGAAGTGGGTCTCTGTTGCGTAAATAATTCCAAATGTTACCAACGTTTTCACCAAACTTAACCCTTCAAGAGGCATTTAAAACCGTTTCAGAGATAAACAAAGAGCTAATAAGAACGGAATTGGATGGTGCATTTTTCCAAAAATTCAAACTTCTAGTCAATATATTTTCTTCATTGTTTCGCTAAACGTAGAAATTCGTTAGAGAAAATGATCCATCAAAAGAAAAATAAGGGTCACCGAACGTCCAAGATCGTTAAATCTAAGCAAAGCTATAGCAATGACCATCTGCCCTATGTTCATTTTATTACTTAGCTCGCGCTCTCATGCATGACATGGCATGTGAATTTGCGTGCGCAGTAAGGATGCGCACAAACGATTAGCGCGAACGTCCTTAATCTAAAAAGGTCTAATTGCAAAGCGCAATAAAATAGGTCGTTGCCGCTTTTCAGTATTGTATTTTAGATCTTTCGGCCTCTGTGAATTAATTCTTAATTTCTGACGTACATGCCATTCTATGTAAACTAACAAGGTGTTCGCCGTAAAATGATCAACGGATAATTGAGTAAATTGAAATAAAATGAGTTTAAAAATGTCGATCCTCAAGCAATAAAGTGTTTACCTGGAGTGATTTTAAAATGTATAGGCATAACCTACTCTTCGGAGACATGCTGCTTTCTCTGCCAACACCTCTACCTTACACCAGCTGCTGAGGCAAATCTTAGTTAGATTCTTTTTAATCTGTGAATGTGGCTTTAAAAAATGAAAAAGAAAAGAACTGGCAACCTTCGATTTATTCTCACATTACTGTCAGGTATCGTTTCCATCACTACAGCAGTTTTAGTTATTTTCCATTTTCTGCTTCGAAATGCAGCAATTTAACAACATCTGAACGACGCTTGGCAGAAATGCGTTGCAAGAGTTTTCGCGGCGATTTCTGGCACTTTATTACAAACCCATTCAATGAATTAAACCACAATTTTGTCATTTGATTGTATTGAGCCAGCAAATGAAATGTACTGTGCCCCGTATTATCTTAAGAATTGGAGCAGCTGAATTTTATTTAAATATTCGATGAAGCATCTTCGGCCATCCAAGGTAATCATACAAAAAACTGAGGTTTCGTAAGTAAGGT